AGGACTGAACCAGGACTGAACCAGGACCAGGACTAAAAGAGGACTGAACCAGGACTGAACCAGGACTGAACCAGGACTGAACCAGGAGTGAACCAGGACTAAACCAGGACTGAACCAGGACTGAACCAGGAGGAGTGAACCAGCGACTGAACCAGGACTGAACCAGGACTGAACCAGGACTGAACCAGGAACCAGGACTAAACCAGGACTGAAACCAGGAGTGAACCAGGACTGAAACCAGGAGTGAAAACCAGGACTAAACCAGGACTAACCAGGAGTGAACCAGGACTGTGAACCAGGACTAAACCAGGACTAAACCAGGACTGAACCAGGACTAAACCAGGAGTGAACCAGGAGTGAACCAGGACCAGGACTAACCAGGACTGAACCAGGACTAAACCAGGACCTAAACCAGGAACTGAACCAGGAGTGAACCAGGACTAAACCAGGAGTGAACCAGGACTAACCCAGGACTAAACCAGGAGTGAACCAGGAGTGAACCAGGATGAACCAGGACTAAACCAGGACTAAACCAGGACTAAACCAGGACTAAACCAGGACTGAAACCAGGACTGAACCAGGACTAAACCAGGACTAAACGACAGACCCGAGCCGCGTGATGGAGCCCGGTCGTCCTCTTCACTGTACTCGTGGCATTTCATTCAGCGGAATCGTCACCGGAACAAACACACAAAACACACACACAAAAACAACACACACACACAAACACATACACACACATACACACATACACACACATACACACACATACACATACACACACACACAAAAAACACACAACACACACACACACACACACACACACACACACACACACACACAAACACACACACACACACACGCTGCAGGAACATGTGCCGGTGCAGATGACACATGTTCCTCAGGTAAATATGAACTTTATGAATGAAAGTTTGACCTGAGGCGCCTTTTTCAATAAATAAATAAAAACATACACGAACATACATACACACACACACATGTGTGGTTGGGCTCATTGGGCTCGTGTTTTCGAGGTGCGTCCGCCTGCAGTGGCGTTTTTGCAAGTTCCACATTTGTCCTCGTGTGGAGATCCTTTACTCGCTCGCACTTCAAATCTGCATGTGTGAAATAAAACAATCCACCTGAATGTGTGTTTTATCCTGCGTCGGGATTATGGGATTATTTTCACGCCATATTTGACACGAACAGAACTCACACCGGTAGAGAGATGAATGTACGACCTGACTCTTACCTGGAGCACGAGGATGTCTTGTGTCTTCAGTGTCAGGAGCAGTGTCCTTCAGGTGATTTTCCAAAACACAAGTTACACCTGTTTATTTACATAATGGATCAACCAAACAAATCTGTGAATGTGAAAAATGAATGAAAAACCTCAGGACAGGACTGAACCAGGACAAACCAGGACTTAAACCAGGACTGAACCAGGACTGAACCAGGACTGAACCAGGACTAAAGACTGAAACAGGACTGAACCAGGACTGAACCAGGACTGAACCAGGACTGAAACCAGGACTAAACCAGGACTAACCAGGACTAAACCAGGACTAAACCAGAACCAGGACTGAACCAGGACTAACCAGGACTGAACCAGGACTGAACCAGGACTGAACCAGGACTGAAACTGAAAGGACCCAGGACTGAACCAGGACTAAACCAGGACTGAACCAGGACTAGGACTGAACCAGGACTAAACCAGGACTGAACCAGGACTGAAACCAGGACTGAACCAGGACTGAACCAGGACTGAACCAGGACTGAACCAGGACTAACCAGGACTAAACCAGGACTGAACCAGGACTGTGAACCAGGAGTGAACCAGGACTGAACCAGGAGTGAACCAGGAAACCAGGACTGAACCAGGACAACCAGGACTAAACCAGGAACCAGGACTGAACCAGGACTGAACCCAGGACTGAACCAGGACTGAACCAGGACTGAACCAGGACTAAACCAGGACTGAACCAGGACTGAAACCAGGAGTGAAACCAGGACTGAACCAGGAGTGAACCAGGACTGAACAGGACTGAACCAGGACTGAACCAGGAGTGAACCAGGACTGAACCAGGAGGAGTGAACCAGGAGGATGAACCAGGACTGAACCAGGACTGAACCAGGACTAAACCAGGACTGAACCAGGACTGAACCAGGAGTGAACCAGGAGTGAACCAGGACTAAAACCAGGAGTGAACCAGGACTGAAACCAGGACTGAAACCAGGACTGAACCAGGACTGAACCAGGACTAAAACCAGGAAACCAGGACTGAACCAGGAGTGAACCAGGACTGAAACCAGGACTGAACCAGGAGTGAACCAGGACTGAACCAGGAGTGAACCAGGACTAAACCAGGACTAAACCAGGACTAAACCAGGACTGAACCAGGACTGAACCAGGACTAAACCAGGACTGAACCAGGACTGAACCAGGAGTGAACCAGGACTGAACCAGGACTAAACACCTTAAGAAAAAAACAAACAAAAAAACAACAACACAAATTTCAGACTTCTGGTCATGGCACAATTCATTTTTATGTCATAACACACACCAGTCTCTCTCAGTCTGGTCTGACATTGTTTCGGGAAAAGACCTGGACCGGGCTCTTGTTTCCAGGGCAACGGACGAGCGTCTAGTATTTTTCTCCCGTTCGTCCACGGCGTCAAAGACACGAGCGTCGGGGGCGTCTGAACTTAAATGCAAAGGCTCCAAATAGAGGCGTCTAGGGCGTTTTTTGACACTTTGGTGTGAACGGCCCTTTAGACAGACAAATGTTTCCTTTTTGGTTCTTCTGTGGATCAATCCTGCCCATCACCTTCACCTTTCACTATTTTTCAATTCTGTTGAGAAGAGAAACAGTTTGAACGGATGTTTGACTCACACACATCTGATTCACTTTTGCATTTATGAAGTTCACAAACACATTTCTCGAGTCGTTTTCCGCTGTTAGAACAAACAACAACCACACAATGACGATGTCCGAATCCCAAAACTAAAATATGAAAATATCAGAACCAAAAACAAAAGTGATTTGGTTCAAAAGATTTGAAAAGATCGACTTTGACAATAGACACATCCCACTGGGAAAACAAACATGGAGGTTTGACGCTCACTTTTTCAGAGGATCATCCCCAGTGTGAATGATCGATGACCAGAAGTCCGAGATTCGTGATGCATGTTTATAATCATGTAACACAAATAATAATCAAATTGTGCCCCTGATGCCTAAAGACAAATGACTGCATCTTCTCTTTTCTTCCTTCAGGTGACACTTTACATGCAAACAGGTTTTAGAGGGTAAGTCACGTTCTGTGCAAAACTCATTCAAAAGTCAAATTTACAAGTCAGATTTTCAACAGCAATTGCATGTGCAGTCGCCTTAAACCACACACACACCCGGAGTTTGTGTCTTCATCACATCGGAACATCACGTCTACTGTCCTGTCAAAGTAAACAACAGCACCCGTCACACGAGAAGACGCGCAGCTCTGCTCCGTCCCAGGTGAGGTCACGATTTTTTAATTCATTTTTTTCTCAAAGACAACAGAATATAACATTTAACAAAACAGAACAATCAACATTTAATAATCAACATAAAACAAAATGCAAAAACATAAAGCAACGCCCACAACAAATACAAGAAAACAACAACAACAAAAAAAAAACTAAATTTCCCCCCGACCACAAACACCGACACAAATTTGGCTAAATTAAAATGAAAAAGTGATGTGGTAGTGCGTCATAACCACACGGCGAGGTTCCTTACACTGACACATCACGGCCAATTCATCACTGAAATTTATTTTTCTTTTTTCTTTTCCTCTCCCATTTTTAAATAAACATTTTTAGTCCTTCGACTTAAACTGATATTATTATTTTCACCATCATCATTTCATTTTTTTATTACAAACTCAAAGCATCATTTTAAAGGCATTTATTATTATTATTATTATTATTATTATTATTATTATTATTATTATTATTATAGGTCATGTTTATAACTTATTCAAATTCACGTAAGGGTCAGTAACATGACGCTGAAATTTTCTGTCCAATTGTCAATTATTCAGTTAAAAAAGGTTCAATTGTCATAATAATTCAGCTCATATCTGCAGCATCTCTCACCTCCATGGAACCAAATCCACTTTTTATTTCGTCGGGGTTTTCCCAGAATATTGCAATAAATATCGTCCCGTGAGGTTCATACTGTGACGATATTGTTTATGTTATTAGGTTCTTTTTTCAGACCAAGGGTTTGTTTTCATCCCTGACAGTTTGTTCTGCTCACTGCGTCTTCCTCAGAGTCTCGTGATGTTTCTGTGTCGTGTCGCTCAGTTGATTTAAACAGGTTTTGTCTCTGTCTTCCTCTCGGTGGAGGCAGGACGACAGCGCCACCTGCAGTCGCACTTCCTCAGGACAGAATCCAGGTGTGTGAGAGTAAAAAAAGCCCCTCGTCCCGGTGTTTCCGTCTACACTGCCCAAGACGCAGAACTCTGGTCAGATGTGCTCAGGTCGTGTATGAGTTTACGTCACAAACAGGACACAGAAACAAACATGTGGATCATTTCCAAAATCTGTAATATCACGAATAAATTTACAGGAGGCAAAAAAAAAAAAAAAAAAAAGTCAAGAATCTGGAGAGATTCTATTAGTGAACAGAGAAGGATCTGCAATCCATCCATTCATTTTCTTCCTCTTATCCGGGGTCGGGTCATGGGGGCATCAGTCTAAGCAGGGACTCCCAGACTTCCTTCACCCCAGACACTTCCTCCAGCTCCTCCGGGGGAACCTGAGGTGTTCCCAGTCCAGTCCAGAGACATAGTCCCTCCAGTGTGTCCTGGGTCTTCCCCGGGGCCTCCTCCCGGTGGGACATGAACACCTCCTGAGGGACACGTCCAGGAGACATCAGAACAGATGCCCGAGCCTCAACTGGCTCCTCTCCACGTGGAGGAGCAGCGGCTCTACTCCGAGCTCCTCCCGTGTGACTGAGCTCCTCACTCTGTCTCTAAGGGAGACGCCCAGACACCCTGCGGAGGAAACTCATTTCGAGCACTTGTATCCGCGATCTCGTCCTTTCGGTCACTACCCAGAGCTCATGACCAGAGGTGAGAGGAGGAACGAAGACTGACCGGTAAATCGAGAGCTTCGCCTTTAGACTCACCTCCTCTTCACCACAACGATACAGCGACCGCATCACTGATCCACCTGTCAATCTCACGCTCCGTCCTCCCCTCACTCATGAACAAGACCCCGAGATACTTGAACTCCTCCACTTGAGGCGATCACCTCTGGAAAAATTCTGGACGCACCAGGTCGTCTCAGTCGAGTCAGACGGATCTGGACGAGACCTGGAGAACCAGTGGATGGTGGGACGACTTTGTGGAAGGAGGAGCTGATGAAAATGTGTAACGTGAAATCTTCTGTATGTCCAAAGACGCTCTTGTTGCTTTAAGTACAAACACACACAGTCCAATTCCACACACTTTTGCATCACCGATTTACTCCTGAGAACACTTGACTAAACGAGGAATAAAAAGTAAAGGCGGGACACCACTTTTGTGTTTTCTGTTCAGGCGTCGTCATATAAACAAAGCCTGAGACTCAAACATCAGGTTGATACTGACACATTCACCTCATGCTTTTTCTGAACTTCCCTGTGGTCATGTTTCAGGTCCAGTTTTTACCATGAGCAGAGCGATGCTTCTGTTCCTCTGTCTGCTCGGGGTGACGGGCGTCGTGGGCCAACAGAGAGTCATATACATCACAAAGTATTTAACCTGGCGTGATGCTCAGACCTACTGCAGACTGTACCACCTCGACCTGGTCACTATCACCACTGCAGCAGAGAACAACCAAATCGATCAGGACACGTGGCTCGGGATGTACCGGGACGACTCCTACTCCGACTGGAAATGGTCCAGAGGAGACGAGCCTCACACATTCGCCAATGAGTGGAACAGCGGTAAGTAGAAGTGCAGCGGTTCACGTGTTTGTGCTGAACTGTTTCACTACGGGACGTTTGGTTCAGCGCAGGTCTGTACACGAGGGACTTCTCTCAGTTTGTGTGTTTACATTCCTCCACTACATGTGCAGCTCCGCGGAGGCTCGGCTCTTTAATATTCACAAGGAACTCATCCGTGATTGGTTCAGTGTTTCCTGCAGCGCTTTATAGTTAGAGCGACACCTTCACAACAACTGCCCCCCAACTTGACTACAGCCCTCCAAACCACAAGAATCCTGCAAAACTACAGTCATTGTTCCCCAGTCCTCACTTTCACCTTTTGGCGGCACAGAATCCCCCCCCCCCGAAAAGTATTTATTTATATGTATTTGAAAAGCTTTGTCTCAATCACAGACTCCTGTGTGAGCAAGAATTTACATAAAAACAAAACAAAATTGATTGAATGAAACTTGGAGTCACCGCACAGCCTCTTCTTTAGAATACCTACTACTGCAGCTTTTTCATGCTTTGAATGAAAAATACGGCATAATTACTACATTCTAATTTTGAGTAAATGTACACAATTACAGTTACAATTGTTGTACAGTTGTTTCAGAGCTCCACACCTTTAACAGATTTATACAATTTATTTTTGATAAATGTGGCCATTCCTCTGAGCTCACATTAGTGATTTCATTACATATTCTGTAACGATTTTGATAAGAGATTTTCAAAGTGTACAGGTCGACTAAATCACACACTTCCAGAGTTTGAAGGTTTATAAGTAACACATTGGTTGGTTCATTGTAAGTTGATAATGTGATGCTCTTATTGCCTTTTTTGCAGGTAGGTTCTGTCGGGCCTTACCAGCAAGTTGCATAGAATAAGAAGACTGTTTTCATTTAGGATATATCTGTAGTATTACTGACCTATGACCTATGGAAGATGTGAAATCATGGCTGTTACCATGATACCCAAGTTTTAAGAAACTAGCATCAGAAGTTTGGACAGTGCCTCTGGATGCTCTCTTCCCTTCCCCTTTCAAACTGGTTGATAAGTTTCCAAGTGATGAGGACACACAGATATTACTGCCACTTGTTGTCAATGTGTTCATATTGATTTGTAAATGTAGATGTCATGTGAATATTCTTTTATTTGTGAAAAGCTGTTAATGGTTTTTGAAACTAGTGTGAGTGGAATTTTACAGACTGTCCTCCTCACTCCACTCACTGTCGCCAGGACTTCACAGCTCTTGTTCTGGCCCCTTCCCCCAAAACAAAGGACTCTTCTCTACAAGTCAGAGGGGAGGAAGAGATCAACTTAAGAGATGAACAGAACTCAGTAAAAACCCAGAGTTGAACAGGAGGGACAACGCCCACGAAGTTCTCTCTCCGTTTAAAGTTGTGCCCGTCGCTTGACGTGTTTTTATTCAAATATCTGTAGTTAATCTGACTGAAAGTGAAGCTTTCATATTATTCCTTATTTAAATATTCACATTTTTACAGACAATAGTCTTTTTGATTGATCAGCCTTAATCTGTGAGCAGAGCTGTTAGACCTTGTGAACACTGAAGCGTGTCCTCTGATCCTTTGGAACAGAGGAGCGTCCTTCAGCCTGACGCTGACTGAGCCTGAAGTCTTGTTTAGATCACGTGACCTTCATCCTTTCATTACGTTTGATTCTTCAGAACCGATGTCCTGAGAAACTCAAACCTTCATTGGACCTGTGAGGAGCACATGGAGACTGGACATGTCCACGCTCCCCGGGTCGTATGTGTCACTGTCACAGAACGACAAACGACAAAGTCAATTTAGACTCAACACAGAACTTTACATAAACCTTAAAGTTGCATTTAATCTCAGATCTAGACACCAGTTTAGTTTGACCTCCACTCATTTACATATTTGATATTTAAATGTTTCTGTTTAACTTGGTCAATAAATATTCATAAACCACAGATTGCTTTGGTGAATAGTGATGTTATAGATACAGGTCACTGATATGTACAAGAATTTACAAACCTTCAGATCAATTGCTTGATTAATTAATTACTTGACATAGGTAACTGATTAAATTGGATTGGTAATATTTCTCCACATGTCTTGAGTGGTGCCCCAAATGTACTTCTAGTCAGAGCCGAACTCTCACAAAGGCCACGCGAGTCCTGCTGCTTTAACTTAGAACTCTTAAAGTCCAATCTGTAACATCAATTCTCCTCCTTTAACTAAGGGACCCTTTCCTTTAGTCCCACTACATGTCTATATTTGTATATAATTGTGATTACTTTGGATGATTTATTTCTAATTTTATATATCTGTGATTTCTAGTTTAAATTATGGACTATAGTTAAGTAAAAACTTGTTTTCAAAGCCTCTTTCTAGTGGTGTATTATTGAGTATAATTTGTACATGATACTGAAATCCTGAGCATGAACTGGTTTATACTCCTCTGTTTGTGATTAAAAGAGACACTGTTGCTTGTTTGACGTGTTCAGATGATCCTGACGTTGGTGAAGACTGTGTCTACAAGAGGTCGACGGACGGTGGGGCGTGGAAGAGCAGTACCTGCGGTTCCGTTCGTATGTTCTTCTGTCTTGACGACTCGCTGTTTGTGGTGAAACAGATGAAGACCTGGGAGGAGGCTCTGGTCCACTGCAGGTCTCTGAGATCTGGAACCCGCAGATACGACCTGGCCTCGCTCCTCACCCCGCAGGACCATGACCTCCTGAAGAGCCAGAGTTTAGAGCAGGTACGAGCCTGTGCAGCAGCTCGGTGTGGGGTCGGCGTGGGGTCGGCGTGGGGTCGGCGTGGGGTCGGTGTGGGGTCGGGAGTCTTGTGGGGTTAGTGTGGGGTCGGTGTGGAGCTTTGTGGGGTCGTGCGGTTCATGTATGTGGTTTCTGTGACCTGCAGGTGTGGACTGGACTCAGGTTCCTGGGAGATCGCTGGGTGTGGGTCGGAGGAGAGGACGTCCAGTACAATGACATAACTCCATGTCCAGAGGAGAAACGCTGTGGTGTGGTGGACAAGACGACCAGCAAACTTTACAATATCATCGACTGCAAGGAAACAAACTATTTCTTCTGCTACAGGAAATCATTCTAGAGCTGTGTGTAGTTTTTATTATTAACACCGCAGGAGTCTTCTGATTGGAAAGCTTTGGTTTATTTGCTAGAATTTACATCTTGGTTTTGTGAACTGTTTTGTGATAATCTGTGGTTTTAAACCTCTTAAAATTCTAACATACTTTCTTTCAAATCAAATCAAATTTATTTGTACAGCAGATTTAAATCTAGCAAATTTTCGCAAACATCAAAGTACCGAATCTGCTTTGGTAAAGGTCTACAATGACATCCTTCTCACACTTGATTCCGGATCCTCAGTTGTATTAATTTTATTGGACTTGAGTGCAGCCTTTGACACAGTTGACCACCAGATCCTCCTCAAACGCCTGCAGCATATTGTTGGTTTGCAGGCTCAGTTATAAAATGGTTCACATCATATCTGTCAGGAAGATCCTTTGCAGTCAAAGTTGGTGAGAGAGTGTCTACCCCATGTCTCATCCTTTGCCACCCTCCATGCCTGCCTTGCGGAAATAAAAAAATGTATGTCCTTTAACTTTCTCCAGCTACATGAAAATAAGACTGAAGTTATTCTATTTGGACCTTACACTGACACCCTCACATCTGACCCTGGACCTCTTGCCACAAATTTGCACAATTCAGCAAAGAACCTTGGTGTTTTTATGGACTCTCTTTTAAACTTTGACAAACAGATCTCAAATGTTGTTAAAACTAGCTTTTTTTTTTAAACAAATTAAAACCAATCCTAACACGCAATAACCCTGAAACAATCATACACGCTTTTGTAACAAATAGACTGGACGACTGTACTGCACTATACTCAGGCCTCCCACAATCCTCCATCAACAGGTCACAGTTAATCCAAAATGCTGCTGCCAGACGCTCACCGGGTCCAAAAAGAGAGACCATATTACACCCATCCTCGCCCAACTCCACTGATTACCTATTAAATACAGAATTGATTTTTAAATGTTATTATTTGTTTTTAAAATCTCTTAACTCACTTGCGCCACAGTACATCACTGATCTTTTAACCCCCCACAGCCTCCCGGTCTCTCAGGTCAAACTCGCTCAACCTCCGGTCCGTCCCACCTCAAAACCAGGGGAGGCCGAACCTTCTCTGTTGTTGCCCCCGAGCTTTGGAATTCCCTCCCTCTTCACCTGAGATCTTGCTCATCCCTATCTCACTTTAAAACCCTCCTAAAAACAAATTTTTTCAAGATGGCATTTAACAGCCCATGAGCTCTATTTTAAACTATTATCTTTGTGCATCAAGTAACTCGTTTATGTCATATTTTATATATTTTATATTTGTGTTAGTGTTTTCACTATGTTCTGTTTCATGCTGTAAAACACTTTGGTGCAACTTGTTATGGTTGTTTTAAATGTGCTATATAAATAAAATGACTTGACTTGACTTGACTAGCGAGGCTGGTGCCACCTAGTGCCTTTGGTCAATTTAATTTCTCTCCAGCTCTAGGTCAGGAATCAGAATACACTACATGGTTTGCAAGAATCCTGGAAGTTGTAGACAAAATTGCACTACAAAGAAAAATCCGCACAAAACAGCGAGGCCGCGAAAGGTGAACCGTGTTAACGTGAGGGACAACTGTACGAATAAATATGTATAAGGCTGTGACCCAGGTGTTTTTCTGCTCCTGGTTAGCTCGCCAATTTATGTAACATGTACAGCACTGTGCAATGGATCAGAAATACTTAATAATAACAGCAATAGTAGCAACAAGAGCTGAAGCAACTGATTGGTCTGTTATTAATGTTCTTTGTTCATTTTGAGTATCCAGAAAAACACAATAGAAAACTTATCTGTTAATTATTATTATTATTATCAAATCAAAATCAAATCAAAACTTTATTTATAAAGCATTTTTCATACAAAATGCAACACAAAGTGCTTTACAGTGATTAAAAACAGTTTTTCAACCACCCAACCACCCACCCAACCCCACATAGTCAAACAACCAGAGGAGTTCATGAATGATTATTCTCAAACTAGAGCACTAATTTATGTTCATGATTAATAGTAATTGGTCACATTTTTATATAAATATGTATAAGGCTGTTACCCAGGTGTTTTTCTGCTCCTGGTTAGCTCACCACTTTATGTAACATGTACAGCACTGTGAAATGGATCAGAAATACTTAATAATAACAGCAATAGTAGCAACAAGAGCAGAAGCACCTGATTGGTCTGTTATTAATGTTCATATTGTGACCCAGAGAAGCTCTACTAAGTGTCTTTGAGTGTCCAGAAAAACGCTATAGAAAATTGATCTATTAATTATTTTTATTACTAAAGTAGTTACTGTAAAACCAATAGACTTCATGGGTGATTATTATCAAACCAGAACACAAATTTATGTTCATGATTAATGGTAATTGGTCACATTTTTATATAAATATTAGTGATGGGCGATTGGAGCCTCGTGAAGCATTGACACCTCAGTCGCAATATCGTCTCAAATGGTTTGACGTGTCTGAGGCCTCGGAGAAACACTGACCTCTAGTGGACAAATTTAATCTTTGGCACGCAGGTGTCTGAGCGACCGCATCACTGCAGACACTGCACTGATCCACCTGTCAATCTCACGCTCCGTCCTCCCCTCACTCGTGAACAAGACCCCGAGATACTTGAACTCCTCCACTTGAGGCAGAGACTCTCCACCTGGAGACGACAAGAGTTGATCTTCATCCCAGACACTTCACACTCGGGTCAAACCGCCGCAGAGCTGCAGGTTCTGGTCTGATGAAGCCAACAGGACAACATCATCTACATCATCTGTAAACAGCAGAGATGATCCTGTGGTCCCCAAACCGGCCCCTCCGGCCCCTGACTGCACCTAGAAACTCTGTCCATAAACACAATGAACAGAACCGGTTCTACAGCTGCTCCATTATGGACAAAATCATTATCACCATTATTTTGGTCAATATTAAAATCACGATTATTCAAGCAATTATGTTTTAATTACACAATGTATTTATTCAGCAATTCTCTCTCTCAATAAAAAAACAACAACAAAAAAAACAAAAAACACTTAAAAATAACATTTATTTGTCTGTGGTAGTTTCTTTGTCGTCTTATAAAGTGACTCCATATTTTACGTCTTTATCGGCGACATGAGGTAAATCTGTGTCATGTTTCACCGTCCACATTTAGAACGATTCACAAAATGTTCTAATAAAACTACAATAAAAGAACAAATGTTCAACAGTTTCTGTTTCACTGTTACAACATGTGCACTTATTAGTCTCCAAATTAAAATGGTTTGTTTGCTTCTTTGTTTGTTTTTTTGTTTGTTTTCAGAAAATCATTACGGGATAAATATCATTTCAATTTTAAAGTGAGGGTTTGTCGTTGTCAAATAAATATATAAATGTAAATGTACAAGAAAAATAAAAAATAGGCAAATAAGTAATAAAAAAATCTCAGATATTTACAAGAGTTC